GCACACAGTCGCTCTCCCTCTCTGGATCTAAAGTCTCCAGCTGCTCCATCGCTCCACGTCATCATCTCTGGCTCCATTTCAGGCATCACTGCTTCTCTGGGTAGGGTCCTGCTCTCTGCTCTTCTCCCTTGATGGTCCTAGACTGAAAAGTTAATCACTCCCCTCCTTTCTATAAAACATCTACCTGTACATTTCCAACCCTCACAATCAGTCCTGATAACAATTACTCACTATTGTATCACAAGAGACCTGTCTGCATTTCATTGCATCAGTCCTGGCTAGTCAGATTGAATACCACACACTGGAGATTCTACCTTCATCCAGGCCCTCTGTATCTAGGTTCCCTCTTGAAAGCTTGTAAGCCAGTCACTTCTTGCCTTTGTAGGCCCCCACCCCCCATTTTGGGTAGCCAATGTCCAAGTTGCTCATCCCTGTCTACTCTGTGTGTGGAGGGTGTGGGAATGATTCTTGCTGTTAGGACTTGTTCCCTCTTTTGAGCTACTGCTTCCATAGGTGTAGGTCAAGTTCATCAAATTGTATGAGAATACTTTTTTTTTTCCTCTTCTTTTTACTCCCCTCTGTTTTTTAGGGTTTTCCTGTTTAAGCAATTCTAGAACGGCCTCCATGGGCTCAATGCAGACCTTGACCTTCACTGCATTCCAATCACTCACCACACTTTGCTATTCTTTGACCTACAAAGCTAACTCACAAGGAAGTCTGGGCCATAGGTGTAGACCTGACCAACAAGGAAGTAATTAGATCATTAGAGAGTAAATGCTACAGGTGAAATGCTAAACAATTACAAAACACTGATACCCCACAAATGTTTAGCATTTTCTTCACTGAAACATTTTCAAAAAGATCCTCAAAAATCCAACTAGCCACACATTACATTAACACCAGTTGACAGCTGGGAAAATACAGAGACTAGTGCCTTTCCTCAGGCATACACTTTTAATGATCAAGCTGTCACTGTTGTTGTTAGGTTAATGGGTTACAACTCATGGAGAGCCTATGTAAAACAGAATGAAAAGCTGCTCTGTTCTGTGCCATCCTCACTACCATTGCTATGTTTGAGGCCATTGTTGCATTCACTGTGTCAAACTAGCTCATTGAGAGTCTTCCTCCTTTTCACTGACCCTCTACTAAGCATGATGTCTTTCTACAAGGAATGGTCCCAACTGGTACTATATCCAAACTACATGAAACAAAGTCTTCCCTCTTCCCTTCTCAGGAGCATACTGTCTGCAAGTCATCCAAGACCTACATGTTTGTTCTTCTATGAGTCCACTCAATATTCTTTGCCAACATCATCATTCAAATACATCAAACTTCTGTATTCCTTATTCATTGTCTAGCTTTCACATGCATATGAAGCAATTAAAATGGCTTGGGGCAGGTCCACCTTAGTCCACAAGGTGTCATCCTAGCTTTTTTAACATTTTAAAGTAGTTTGTTTTTTTATTTGCAGCAGCAGCAGCTGATTTGCCAAAGGTAATATGTTGTTTGATTTCTTGATTTGCATGGATGTTGATTGTGGATCCACGAAAAAAGAAATATTTAACAACTTCAATCTTTTCTCTGTTTATCATGATTCGCCTATTGGTCCAATTCTGAGAACTTTTGCTTTTTTTACATTGTGTTGTAATCCATACCAAAGACTGTAGCATTTAATCTTCATCTGTTGTCATTGTTAAATGCTGTTGAGTTGGTTCCTACTCATAGCAACCCATGTGTAGGGTTTCCGAGGAGTGACTGGTGAGTTTGAACCGCTGACCTTACAGTTCAAACTGACCTTGCAGTCCAGTGCTTATCCTACAGTGCCACACCAGAAGTCTAATATTCATCTGTAAATACTTCAAATCCTCTTTGCTTTCAGCAAGGAAGGTTGTATCTTCTTCATATAGTCCACTTTCTTGGATTATATACTCAATATACAGATTGAGTAAGTATGGTAAAGGACACAATTCTGACATACATCTTTCCTGATTTTAAAACCATTCCCTTCTTTTCTTTGAAAGGTTATCTCTTGGTCTAACTACAGGTTCTAAATGAACACAATTAAGTGTTCTGGAATTCCCATTCTTTGCAATGTTATCAATGGTTTGTAATGATCCACACAACTGAATACATTACCAATGTCAATAAAACAAAGACAAGCATCTTTCTAGTATTCTCTGCATTCAGTCAAGATCCATCTGGCATCCACGTCCTCCTCTGAATCTATGGCAGTTCCCTGTTAATGTACCACTTCAAGCCATTTTTGAACCATCCTCAGCAAAATTTTACTTGCACGTGAACTTTATATACTATCTGAATTCAGATCTAAACCATAGTCTTTGGGGATATTCTGGGTCTTTCTACCATGTTCTCCCATAGTATCTTCCTTAGACACTGCCCTTCAAGATTGATACATCAAGCCCATAAATGTGATCATTTGCATTGATGACCAAACCATCTTTGTTCAATTTTCATCTTCTATTATACATGTATTTCATTCAAATACCAAAGTACCAGATTACTCCAGGACACCTATAAAAAACAGACGTGTTCATTTCCAGGAATCAGTGTTTAGCAGAAGCAAGGCTTTCAACTTTAGAATTCCATACTTATCACTGAGAACAACACTTGAGTAGAAAAAGAGGTAGGGTGTAAGCCCGGGAAAGATCAGGTTGTTGCCATAAATGTGGTTCCTTGTACACAGTCTGAGGGAACCCTGTAAGGCGGGAAGCCTAGGAGTCCTTTTGGAACAAATTATTAGGAAAGCAAAAACTGTCTCAAGGACAGAAGTCCTCTTTTGTTTTCTACTATACCTCAGTACCTGGGAGATATATGTATATATATATATACATTTGTTGTTATTCTTGTTAAGTGCTGTCAAATCAGTCCTGACTCATGATGACTCACTGTTGGCTTTCTGAGGAACAACTGGTGGGTTTGAACCGCTGACCTTGTAGTTCACAGTCCAGTGCTTATCCTACAGTACCACACCAGGAATCCAGGACATATACAGTAGGCACTCAGTAAATGATCATTGAGTAAATTCTTTGTAGCCCCACAATCACCCCAAAGAAGCTCCCTGAAGCAGCTATGTTGGGCTCAGCTAAGGCCCTCATGTGACCCAAACCCCAACATCTACTAGACCTCTCCAAGTTCTGGAAACAGCCTAGGGGGCCTCTTGGAGAATGAAAGCATTAATCCCAGGACCTTGTCCATGTTAGTCTGTTTAGGACTCCTGGTGTATGTTGCTCTGGACTGCAACGTTGGTTTTAACAGCCAACCTTGAGGTTCAAACTCACCAGCCACTCCTTGGAAACCCTACCTATACAGGACCTCTGTGTTTCAGAACTGACTCAATGGCATTTAACAACAACCACCAAAAGTCCTTGTACGGTGCTGTAGGATGAGCACAGAACTGCTAACCACAGGCCAACAGTTCAAACCCATCAGATGCTCCTTAGAAATTCTGTATAGTGTCATTATGTGAGAAATTCTCAAAATAGTCCATCTTTAGGAATAAACGGCACAAGAAATTGCTAGACCAGACATAGGTAGCTGATTCACATCCAGGGGTATGTGAGCAGGATGAATTGGGGAGAAAAGAAAGAAATCTGTTCTAGGACTAGGAATTTTAAATAAGAATACAGTCATTAAGGCTATGGATGCCATCAAGGCTAGATTGTGAACCACAGACTAACTGGAGGAGGGCCTCTCAAAACAGGGGAATGAGACTCTTAGCGAGCCGACCTGTGTCTATTTGGTTGGGCATCCATTTTGCAAAATCGAATAAAGAAAACCTCACTCTGGCTAAAATGAGTACAGATTGAACATCAGTTTTGAGTCAGAACAGACTCAACACTTAACAAACGCAACAACACTAACTAAAAAGTGGACAAAACACACCAAGGGCTCCCTGCAAGAAAAATGTGGCAGTCTGCTTCTATAAAGATTTACAGCCTTGGAAACACTATGAGGCAGTTCTACTTTGTTTGGTAAGATCGTTATGAGTAAATGGCAAAAAGTTTGGTTTGGGTTTGATTGGCTACTTCAAGCCAATCTTAGGGGACAATCAGAAGGCCAATGGATGGAAATTCAAAGTTCCCATAGCCTTTACAAGTTTTGGGAGAGGTAGGTAATACTCTAGTCACTGGTAAGGTTAAAATCAGAGAAAGAACCCTTAGGGTTCGAAACGTGGCAAAGGCATTTAGAATAGTTCAATTCTTTGGGACAAGAATTTTGAAATTATTTCCCTTCAATTAACCTTGGCAAGTTTATCATCACCTCTCCTCCACCGGGACCCCCTAGAGCTCCTTTTCTTACTGGTTTCTTTGCTCTCTCTCCCTGTGAAGTCAGGAAGCCAAGCTGGGAAAAGATACAAAGTGTGCTGTGTAAAGGGTGGAGGAAGGATGAGGGTAGGGAAGAAGTGAAAGTGGATAAAAGTGATCAGGCATTAAAAGGCAGCCTCAGGCAGAAGAGATTCTGAAAAAGAAGAGATTCAACTTATCACCTAGTTTTCTCTACTTAAAAAAAAAGAAAGTTACATAACTTTTTAGAAGTCACTTCTACCTCTAAAAGTTCTCTCTAGAAGGACAGCAGCGAAAAAGAGGAAGAACCCCAAGGAGACGGACTAGTCCAGTGCCAGCAGTAGCGGGCTCAGACGTAACAAGGATTGTGAGGATGGCGCTGGACCCTGCAGTGTTTCATTCTGTGATGCATTGGGGTCGCTAAGAACCGGAACCGACTCGATGGCACCTAACAAGAGAAGCGCGGCCAGGCCTCACATTCAGGATTCCTAAAATGCTCCGGAGGTCAGAGGGGCCCTCCAGCAATATCAGGCAGAGACAGAGACCACCCTCTCAGTGTTTGTTAAGCCCGCAGATCTGGCAGTCGACCCGAAACTCCGTGCCAATGCCAGGCGGGGGACCTGGCCGGGATCCTGTCCCAGAGCGCGCTCCGATAACGCCGCCAGCGCATTAAAGCCAGCGCCAAGGAGTTCTTACCTGGAGTCCGTTGGACTCGTTGTCGGCTGAAAAAGTAGCGATAGAAATCGCTCCATTTAGAGCCGTCCGTTCGTCTGGCTCGTCCTGGTCGAGCACCATGAGCTCCAGCTGATCTAGCGATGGGAAGTTGGCCCCTTCCATGGACGGGCTTAGAGCCGTCCGTTCGTCTGGCTCGTCCTGGTCGAGCACCATGAGCTCCAGCTGATCTGGCGGTGGGGAGTTGGCCCCTTCCATGAACCGGCAGGGGAGGGTTGAGAGGCCGTGCCGGTAGGCTGAAGCCGCACACCTGAGGGTGCAGAGTCCAAGGCTGCCTCAGTGGTTCACACTCCACCCACCAGGCGTGGCTGCACCTCCGCGAGCGGGAGGGGAGGGGCCGGAGGGGTGGAGCGGAACCGGCAGGTGGCAAACGCTGGGGCCCGAGAGGAGCTCTTTCACTCTTCGGAGCCTTACAGACCAACTGTGCCTGACCGTGGGCTCAGGAGCACGGGAGGGCTGTTTTTCTGGTTTGTTAAGGGCGCTGCCTGCTATGCCTTTCCTTGTTGGTACAGATGCGTAGGGCTTAGTTGGGTGTGTTATTGTTGTTAGCTACTGTCAAGTTGGTTCCAACTCATAGCCACCTTACAGGGTTTCTGAGAAGCGACTGTTGAGTTTGAATAGGGAGTTAGGAATAGGCCACATTGTTGCTATTGTTAGGTGTCTTCAGGTTGACACCGACCTGTAGAGACCCTATATGCATACGGAGCAAAACACTGACCACGCCATCCTCACAACTGTCGTTATATTTAAACCCATAGTTGCAGTCACGGTGTCAGTCTGTCTCCTTAGGGGCCTTCCTCTTCTTTGATGAACTTTATCAAACATGATGTCCTTTTCCAGGGGCTGAGTCCTCCTGACATGTGCAAAGTACCAGAACCAAACCATCCTTGATTACAAGGAGCATTCTTGTGGTGGGTACCTTACAACCCACAATTTAAATTCATCATTTCTTCTACTATCTTCTTTATTCATAGTCCAGCTTTCATATGCATACTAGCTGCTGCAATTAAGTGCCATTGAATCGGTTCCAACTCATAAAGACCCTAAGGTTTCTGTTGGCTTGAACTGCTGCCCTTTTCTTTAACATTTTAAGAAGGTATTGTGCTGCAAATTTGCCACATGTAATATGCCATTTCTTGACTTCAGCTTCTATGATCACTGACTGTAAATGAAATTCTTGACAAATTCAATCTTTTCTTCATTATTATGTTGTTGTTTATTGGACCAGTTGTGAAGATTCTTGTTTTCTCTACTTTAAATTGTAATCCATGCTGAAAGCTGTGTTCTTTGACGTTCATCAACAAATGTCTCAAGTCCTTTTTACTTTCAGCAAGCAAGGTGTCATATGAATAGTGCACATTGTTAATGAGCCTTCCTCCAATCCCAATGCCACATTCTTCATCATATAATCCAGCCTGTCTGATTATCTGCTCAGCATACAGATTGAATAAGTATGGTGAAAGGACACCTTTCCTGATTTTAAGCCATTCAAATGACTGCCTCTTGGTCTATGTACAGTTTCTATATGGGCACAACTAAGTATGCTGGAATTCCTGTTCTTCATAATGTTATCCATCATTTGTTATGATTCACACAGTCAATAAAGCACAAGTAACATCTTTCAGGTATTTTCTGCTTTCAGCAAACTATCTCTAACAGTTTATGATTGCATTATATGGCTCAGGAGTTTGGAAGGTTTTCTTTTGGATATTCCCTAGTTAAGAACATAAATTCATGACACAGGGTCCTGCAAAAATAATAAGACTACCTCTTGAATCCAAAAAAATTCTTCATCTGATAATCAGCGTTGATATACCTCATCCCATATCGTCTTCTGAATCTGACTTGAATTTGTGGCAGCTCTCTCAATCTACTGCTGCAACCATTTTTAAATTTTCTTCAGCAAAATTTTACTTTCCTGTGATATTAACAACGTTGGTGGTAAGTACCAGTTAGTCAATTCCAACTCATAGCAATGCTGTATAAGGTTTTCAAGGAGCTGCTGGTGGGTTTGAATTGCCGACTTTGTGGTTAGCAGTCCAGTGCTTATCCCACAGTACCACACCATGACTTCCATATTTAAGAATTGTTGTTTGTTATTAAGTGTCATCGAATTGATTCTGATTCATAGCAACCCTGTATAGGGTTTCCAAGGAGCAGCTGGTGAGCTTGAACCACCAACCTTGCAGTTCAAACTGACCTTGCAGTCCAGTAGTATATTAACCCACAGTACCACTCCTATTTAATGATAGTGATGGTGGTGGTGTCCGTGGACACCAGTTGGTTCCAACTCATAGTAACCCTGTATGGGGTTTCTGAGGCTGTAAATCTTAACAGGAGCAGAAAGCTTCATCTTTCTCCTGAGGAACAGTTGATCCTTTCAAATTGCTGACCTTGAGGTTAACAGCCTAACTTATAACCACTGTGCTACAATATTCTGTAGGGTCACTTTTCTTTGGAATAAGCATAAGTATAGATCACTTCCAGTTATTCAGCTAGGTTGTTGTTGTTGTTATGTGCCGTGGAGTCGGTTCCGACTCATAGCAACCCTGTACAGGGTTTCCGAGGCTGTAAATCTTTATGGGAGCAGAAAGCCTCATCTTTCTCCCGCAGAACAGCTGGTAGTTTCGAACTGCTGACCTTAAGGTTCACAGCCCAATTCGTAACCACTACGCTACCAGAGCTCCTTATTCAACCAGGTAACTGGCTTCAAAATTTCTTGGCATAGACCACATTGAGATAATAGAATGTGAGCAGAGTTAGAGACAGCAAATGAGCTAGCTGTGCAAATTCCTGAAGGAAGAAGAAACACCAGAACAAAGGAATTAAGCCTTCCTTACTTTTGAAAATAGCCAGTATAGAAACCTGAATGGCTGAAGTGAAGCACTGAGCTGAGAAAAGTTTTCCCACAGTTGGTTGTTGATTCCAGGAGCTCATTCTCATCGGAAGGTTCCCCTGTTTTATTAGCTGAATTATAGGTACTGTCCAAATCTGCTTTCTCCATGCTCAGATCCCCAATCTTAAAATCATCAGAGGATCAAAAGGCAACTGTTCCTTGTCATGAGCTCACTCTAAACCAGACCTCACAATGCCTTCTGAGTCATTGTTGTTGCTAACTGCTGTCAAGTTGGTTCCAACTCATACCGAACCTATATAGTTTTTCAGAGGCTGTAAATCTTTGCAGGAGCAGAAATCCTCATCTTTCTTCTCCAGAGCAACTGGTGGACTCGAACTGCCAATCTTGTGGCTAGCAGTCCAGTGCTTAGCCTATAGAGCTACCACGCTCCCCTTCTGTAAAGCAAATTTTATGTGTTCTGTAATCCAGATATGGGCATTTCCAGATCGACATAACCTAACTTGGGTGGTATAAACAGTGTGCTTAGCTGCTGATGGAAAAGTTGGAGGTCAAGCCCAAACAGAGGAGCCTCAGAAGAAAAGCCTAGTGATCTACTTCAGAAACATCAGCCATTGAATCCTTATGAAGCACGATTCTACTCTGAGATACATGGAGTCACCATGGTCAGTGTTGACTCTATGGCAACTGGTAAACCTTTGTAGAGTTCTGGTGTGGCACTGTGGGTTAATGTGCTGGACTGCAAAGTCGGTTCAAACTGCAAGGCTGGTAGTTCAAGCTCACCAGTTGCTCCTCGGAACCCCTATACAGGGTTCCTATGGGTTGGAACCTATTTGACGGCATTTGACAACAACAACAACAAACCCGTGTATACTGTTAACTCCCAATGGTAGGGTACAAAAAGCGTTCTTCTAGAAAACAAGCAGATCTAGCATCAAATTTGGAATCTCAATATCTGTGTGTTCTTGGGTAAGTGGTTGAATGTTTTTACATTTCTTTTCTCTTTATAAATGATTATTGCCCTGTAGGTTTTGAAAGGTTAAATGAAATAATTAATGCAAAGCATCTATTTCCTGTATCTAACAAATAGTAGGGTCTCAGTAAAAACTCCCTTACTTTCCGTGACTTGTTGTTGTTAAGTGCCCTCGAGTCAGTTCCAACTCATAGTAACCCTGTATAGGGTTTCCAAGGACCAGCTGGAATCCAATGACTATAAGTATCTGTAACTAATATCCTCTTCCCTCTGCCACCCAATTCTTCCAAACCAAAAAACAAACTGGTTGCCAAAGAGTTAATTCCAACTCCTGGTGACCCTATGGAGTTCTGGTGTGGTTCTGTGGGTTAATGTGCTGGACTGCAACGTTGGTTTGAACCACAGTGTTGGCGGTTCAGTCTTACCAGCTGCTCCTCAGAAACCCTATAGAGAGTTGCTATGGGTCAGAACTGACTCAATTGTACCTAACAACAACAACAACAACAAGTAATCATATGGAGTCCTGGTGTGGTGCTACAGGATAGTGTCCTGGACCACAAGTTCAGTTTGAACTGCAAGCTCCTCAGAAACCTTCTGGATCGCTATGAATTGGAATCAACTCCACAGTATTTCACAACAACAACAACAGTGACCCTGTAGACCAGATTAGAACTGCCTCATGGGGTTTCCAAGGTTGTAAATCTTCACAAATGCAGACTGCCACATCTTTGTCCCAAGGAGCAGAAGGTGCATTCAGACCACCAACATATCAGTTAGTAGTAGTTAAGCACTTAACCACTATGGCCCCAGGGCTCCTCCCCACAACACTTGTTGATAGGTTCTGTGGAGTCAATTTTAACTCCTAGCAGCCCTATGTGCAATAGAACAAAACACTGCCCACTTCTGTACTGTCCTCACAAATGCTGTATTGGGGCCCATTGTTCTAGTCACTGTGTCAGTCCATCTCATTTGTAGCTGACCATCTACTTTGCTAAGGGTGATGTCCTTCTACAGGAACTGATCTCTCCTGATAACATGTCTGAAGTGCATCTAAGGAAGTCTTGCCGTTCTCATGTCTAATGAGCATTCAGGCTGTATGTTTCCCAATAGAGATTTGTTCATTTTTCTGGCAGCCCATATTCTTGGCCAACTCAATATTCTTTGCCAACACCATAATTCAAATGCATCAATTCTTCTTTGAGCTTCCTTACTGAATGTCCAACTTTTGATTCATTAGAGATCTATATTGGAAGAAGTACAGGGACCAGTCGCTGAAGAAGGATATCATTAGACCCAGAGCATCCAGAAATTGCCCTTGAATCATTATAATTTTTGAGATATTGATCTGTGTTTCTGTCTGCCTTTTTTTTTTTTTTTTTTTGTCAATGACATTTACCAACACCTCCCACTATTGCCTGAACTTTTCAAATGACAACCTGCTTCTGAGTCCTGGCAATTGCAAATTTCTTAATATCCAGGTAGCTGACCTAGAAACAGATGAATGTTCCAACCCTTACTTACCTGAGGGCATTTTTCCTAATGCTAGTTGACCCTGAACTAACTAAGGATTCAAAATGAATTAGAAGGACTTTTCCCCTGAAGATAAAACCAAATTCAGATTAAACAATTGTTAATGCAAGTTAAGGGTTTGTAAATAAGATAGCAAATTGTATTTACTGTTTTCCCAAATATTAAGAAACCTATCTTCATTGTTGTTGTTGTTAGATGCCATAAAGTCGGTACTGACTCATAGTGACCCTATGCACAACAGAATGAAATACTGCCCAGTCCTGGGCTAACTTCACAATCATTGCTATGCCTGAACCCATCACTGCTACTACTGTGTCAATCCATGTCATTGGTGGTCTGCCTCTTTTTCTCTGACCCTCCACTTTACCAAACGTGATATCCTTCTCCAGCAACTGGTCCCTTCTGATAATATGTCCAAAGTATGAGAGACAAAGTCTGGTCATTCTGGCTTCCAAGGAGCATGCTGGCTGTACTTCTTCCAACATAGATCTGTTTGTTCTTTTAGTAGTCCATGGTACATTTAATACTCTCCTCTAAAACCATAACTCAAATGCATCAATTCTTCTTATTCACTGGTCAATTTTCCATGCATATGAGGTTATTGAAAATACCATGGCTTGGGTCAGGCACAACTTAATCCTCAAACTGGTATCTTTATTCTTCAACACTTCATCTTTGCTGTTTATCACTTTAAAGAGGTCTTATGCAGCAGATTCATCCAAGGTAATTGTTTGATTTCTTGACTGCTGCTTCAATGAGTGTTGAAGGTTGATCCAAGCAAAATAGAGTCTTTGTCAACTTCAATCTTTTTCCATTGATATAGATGTTGTTTATTGGTGCAGTGGTGAGGATTTTTGTTTTCTGTACATTGAGATGCAACCCATACCTAGAGCTGTGGCCTTTGATCTTCATCAGTTAGTATTTTAAGTACTCTTTGCTTTCA